GGACGGTGTGAGCGCGGAGAGGAGCTCCGCCCCCTGCACCGCGGCTGAGGGTGAGCTGAGTATGGCGCGACGAAAGTGCCAAAGAGGAGAGGGCTCAGGCTCCTTCCTCCCACCAGCTCCACCTTGGTCCTCAGTCGCTCCGCCTCCGCCTTGGTCGCCAGAGTCCTCTGCTCCACCCTGGCCCCCCGGATCCTCGGCATCCCCCGGCTCGTTGGCTCTCCACCTCAGGCTCCTCCGCCACCTGCTCCGCCGCTGTTGGTCGGCCCCCTGGAGTCGGTGCCCATTCCTCCTCCATGGCTCCTCTCTCCGTTGGCTCCACTGTGGGTCGACATTATGGCTGTGGCCTGGGTCCTGTTTGGCTCCTCCTGCTCCGGGCCCCTCCTGGCTCCTCCCTCCTTCGTCACCTCCCTGGTCTTGGTCTGCCGGCCCCCTCCCGGGTGTCCGTCCTCCTCCGAAACCTCCACCCACGCCTCCCTCTGTTGCTACGGTGCGAGGACGCACTTTCCGGGAGGGGGCGTAATGTCAGGATCATGGACTGTCTGTCATGTTTTGCCCCTGTTTCTGTTCCCTTATTTGGTCATGTTCCTGTACTCGTTTTTGATAATTAGTTTGATTAGTCATCCCATATGCCTGTGTTTCCTCAATCATCCCCTGTATTTAAGTCCTAGTCTGTGCAGTCTGTCTCTGTTGGTTCTACTTGTTATGGTCATGTGTTTCCTGCCGTTCCCAGTGTTGGATGTACTCTGTGTTTCTTGGATTAAAGACTTTCATTTATTCCTCGTCTCCATCGTTCCTCGCCATCACAGATTGTGACAATAGCATAGTATCTTTAGTCATTTAATTATATATAGTTAAACTACAGCAGGGGAGACTTGGATGAGTTTTATATTCACTACTTTAATGTTATTAAGCCATTTCAGTTGAAATTCATCCAATTTCTATGCTTGACATTAAAAAAAATATGAAATCTTAAATTTCTCACAAAGTAAAATTTTTTTTTTTTCTCAGGCAGAGAGAAAACACTACTGAGCATGTTCTAAATAAGTGCCATCACTCTGCATGAAAATGAAAAGTTGCGATTTTCTAGGCTGATATGGCTAGGAACTATACTCTCATTCCGACGTAATAATCAAGGAACTTTGCTGCCTTACCATGGGTGCAGCAGGCGCTATGATATTACGCAGCGCCTGAAAATAGGCTAACTTCCGCCAACGTGACCACCTGCTTGCACAGGGAGCGTGCCTTCCGTTGGAAGTTACCTAGCTGGGGACTATTTTCAGGCGTTGCGTAATATTGCACCTGCTGCACCGTCGGTCATTTTTAATCGAGATGCTAATGGTCTAACCCAGGGGTGCCCAAACTCAGTACTGGAGGGCCGGTGTCCTGCAGAGTTTAGCTGTGTTGAGGCAAGTTGGAGCTAAACTCTGCAGGACACCGGCCCTCCAGGACCGAGTTTGGGCACCCCTGGTCTAATCCGATTCAATGATCTATGCTAAGCTGCAGCTAAAAGTGCTACCGCCAGACCCGGAGATCGGCAGAATGGATTCGAAAACGGTAAAAC